CTCTTAAATTTGCTTCTTGTTTTGTTACCAATCTTCTTCTCTGTAAGGACAAATACAACTCAAATAACGATTGCAGTCAATTAGACAAAAAGTTGTTTGAATCATAATTTTCGGGCTGCAGTGATGATTCTGTCATCCATCACTACTAGTGTAGGGGTTTATAAGCCAAATGGCAAATGCCACAGGGAATTAAAGTTATAAAGAAATCATGAAACATATATATCAGGAAAAAATCCAAGAAAAAAGGAGTCCTGGAGACATAACATGCTATAATTTAGTGTAGGTTTTTCTCTTACGTTTGATTAGGGTTGAATATGATGAGTAGTGTGTACTTATTAAAATTACATTTGTTTCACAATTTAATATATCCTTTTGGTCATTTTATATTAGGATAAATTAGTAATTCAATAAATAGTTTGGTAGTAAGGGGTACTCGGTTAATTTTAGAGTTCGTTTAACAGCACCATTTTTCTTTTAATTGGAAGTAAGAGAATTCGATTACTTAACATTCTCTAATAACATGAAGAAAAATACTACTAAACTTGTAGTTAGTTGGTTAATCTACCTCAATAGTGGATTGTACATGCTTTATATTAGAGGCAGGTCTAATGTACCTAACAGTAGCCAAGTAATGAAAATTGTTGATTTTCTTCCCTGGCCAGGTTGCAGCTTTTGCACCAAATATTCCAGCACTCTATGAGCTTCATTTCAGCGTTCCAATGGCAGGGGCAATTCTTTGTGCACTTAACATTAGGCTGGACTCTCCCACATTATCATTGATATTACAACAGTTGGAGGCCAAAGCCATTCTTGTAGATCATCAGTACATTGAAGTTGTCCTCCAAGCACTGGACATATTGTCCCAAACAAAGTCCAATCCACCTCTGCTCATTCTTATCCCAGAGTTTGACCAATCATCATCATCATCTTCTCCCATTGATCTTGACCTTCCACTAGGTACCCTGAATTACAATGACCTGCTGCAGGCAAAAGCAGAGCCCAACTTTCAGATTCTAAGACCCAACAATGAATGTGACCCAATTTCAGTGAGTTACACTTCTGGCTCAACTGGAAATCCCAAGGGAGTTTTATACAGCCACAGAGCTGTGTATCTTAATTCATTGGCAGCCATTTTTCAAAGTGACATGAGAAAAATGCCAGTGTTCTTATGGACAGTCGAAATGTTTCGGTGCAACGGTTGGTGCTTCCCTTGGGCTGTTGCTGCTCTTGGAGGCACCAACATCTGCCTCAGAAATGTCTCAGCCAAACTCATTTTTGAAGCAATTCATCTCCACAAGGTAACACACATGTGTGGTGCACCTTCTATTTTGAACATCCTAGCAGATGCCTCAGAAAATGACCAAACCAGGGAAATAAAATCAAGGGTGGCGATTATTGTTGCTGGTGCATTGCCAGCACCTCAGATTTTGACCAAGGTTGCAGAGCTGGGATTCAATGTGAGCCATGGATATGGCATGACAGAGGCCCTTGGGCCAGCAATTGTCACACCATGCAAGCCTGGTCAAAAGCAATCTCAGTACAATCTGATGATGGAAGGGGTTGATGTGAAGGATCCAAACACCATGGAAAGTGTGGAATTTGATGGGAAAACAATGGGGGAGATTATGTTCAGAGGCAACACTTTGATGCTGGATTATCTAGAGAATTCAAAACCAGTTCATGAAGTTTTCAAGGGTGGATGGTATAGGACTGGTGACCTGGCAGTGAGGCATCCAGATGGGTACATTCAGATGAAAGACAGGGCAAGGGATATTATCATTTGTGGTGGTGAGGTTATCAGCACCCTTGAGGTGGAGGCAGTTTTGCTGACTCATCCACAAGTTTTGCAGGCTGCTGTTGTGGGGAGACATGATGAGGTTTTGGGGGAGACTCCTTGTGCTTTTGTGAAGTTGAAGGAGGCGTTTGGTGGTGGTGGTGAAGCAAGTTCTAGAGAGATTATAGAGTTTTGTGAGGGGAAATTGCCTGGTTTTATGGTTCCAAAAGTTGTGATATTTGGGGATTTGCCTAGCCCAACTGGGAAGATACAAAAATTTGTTCTGAGGGAGAAGGCCAATCTTGTGGGAGGCCAAGAATAAGATGCCTAATCTCTGATTATAGCCATTGGATTTGACAATTGGCAAACAGGTTTGTTGGTTTTACATGAAAACTTTCAGTATTTGGGTAGTGGTGTGGATGATTAATTACTTATTATTTTTTTGGGTATACTATAATAAGGTTACAATAGTGTTTTTCTTTTTCTTTGTTACATTGCAGGAAATCGAACAATATGCATTTCGATTAGGGTCGTATTCTATAGTTACGATTCTACCATATATGTCTTTTTCATTCCGTCGAAAATCTATTTTACGGTATAGACGCTTATGACCTCCCCCTCTATGCCCTGCGGTAATGATTCCTCTGGCATTACGACCTTTACCACAACGATGATGTCCATAGATCAAATTATTTCGTGGATTGGATTGACTGTCTACGGCTCCATTGCGTGTCCTCGGGAAACATAATTATTATACTATGATGCTCTTCCAAATCTAAGTTCTCCATAGATTTGAAGTAACTTATGTTACAAAAGGAGATGCTTAGGATGTCAATCATGAAATTGAAGTCTCAAAGTGAATATTGTGACAACCATTTTGCCATAATAGTCATATCATATTATAAGAGCAATTGCCATAACGCTCAATTGTAGCACTAGTTTCTGAATTTGTACCTCAATTTGAATTCGTAAAATGGCTTCTAGAGTTCATGAATTCCACTTCCGTTAGCACCGTTATATTTGCTGTTAAATTTAATGGCAAAATGGGCATTTCATGTCCAACCCATCCCCACACCAGAAAGCTTATTGACCATTGATTCAAATCTGTAAATGTTGCTACTGGGGTGTGGATGACGGTGTGCTAGCCATCAGAAGGGAATCTGCATGGTTCAATTCCCCCAAGTCTTCTCCGAGTATAGCCTCTATTTCTTTAACAAAAAAGTAAGAAAAAACCTATTTCTTTTAAACAAATTATTAAAAAAAAAAACCCAGTATAGCCGACCGGCTTTACTATTTCTTTTAAAAGATTTAAAAACAGCGTGTAGCCGATCGACTGTACTATTTCTTTAACAAAAAATTAAAAACAGAGTATAGCCGGTCGGCTATACTATTTCTTTTTTAAAAGTTGAAAAAACCGAGTTCAGTCGCTCGGCTATACTATTTCTTTTAAAAAATGGGAAGCGTATAGCCGAGCGGTTAGACTATTTCTTTTTCTTTTTTTAAAGGGTATAGCCGACCGGCTATACTATTTCTTTAACAAAAAAATTAGATAAAAAAGAGTATTTAAAATTTTTGAAAATGATTATAGCCGTCCGGCTATACTATTTGGTCGAAAAAAAGTTAAAAACCCGAGTATAGCCCGCCGGCTGTACGATTTTAGAAGGTACTGTCCAACAACTTCTTAAATTACAGTGACAAGAAGATGAAATAGGTATGCACAATGTTGGACTCCCTTTAGAAGGTATAAGGTAGTTCTTTGTTAATAAGTTATAAAAATATGGAATGCAAAGTTCTTCACCATATAAAATCAGATGAAATAGATACATCATATCGATGGATAATGCCAAGTATATTAAGCAGCTGTCCATTGTACTCGTATACTAACCTGCACTTGAAAGTGATAAATTTCAGTGTAATCAATTAGACATACCTCCTAGACAGAAGAGAAAAGATGAACAGGATAAGTTCTAAGAACTTGTGACCAAACCTTCACACCACTCATTGCTTCAATGTACTCAGCGAGCCTCATTTTGTTAACCTTCTTAACCTACAACATGAGCCTATTTAAAAGTATATGAATATGCTATACTATATGAATAGAATATTTTTAAAGTATCTATAAATAGGCTATACGTTTAAAATGCAGTCTCAGTATAATCTGGTGGTGATGGAAGGGGTTGATGTGAAGGATCCAAAAAACAATGGAAAGTATGGCATTTGATGGGAAATCAATGGGGGAGATTTTGTTCAGAGGCAACACTTTGATGCTGGGTTATCTGTAGAATTCAAAACCAGCTCATGAGAGATGGGTACATTCAGATGAAAGACAGGGCAAGGGATATTATCATTTGTGGTGGTGAGGTTATCAGCACCCTTGAGGTGGAGGCAGTTTTGGAGGCTGCTGTTGTGGGAAAATATGAAGAGGTTTTGGGGGAGACTCCTTGTGCTTTTGTGAAGTTGAAGGAGGGGTTTGGTGGTGCTGTTGAGGCAAGTTCTAGAGAGATTATAGAGTTTTGTGAAGGGACATTACCTGGTTTTATGGTTCCAAAAGTTATGATATTTAGGGATTTGCCTAGCCCAACTGCGAAGATACACAAATTTGTTCAAAGGGAGAAGGCCAATCTTGTGGGACGCCAAGAATAAGATGCCTAATCTCTGATATGGGCATTTGATTTGACAATTAAAAAAAAACAACGTATAGCCGTACGGCTATACTATTTTTAAATAAAAAATAGTATAGCCGTTCGGCTATCCTATTTCTTCTTAAAAAATAAAACATATTATAGCCGTGCGGCTATACTATTTCGTTTTAAAAATTATAGCAAACAGAGTATATCCGAACGGTTATACTATTTCTTTGGCGAAAAGTTCAAAAACAGAGTATAGCCGTACGGCTATACTATTTCTTCGAAACAAAAAAGGTAAGGACAAAACGAGTAGAGCCGCTATTTCTTTAACAAAAAAGTACGGACAAAACGAGTAGAGCCGAGCGGCTTTATGAAATCTAAAAACAGCGTATAGCCGAGCGGCTGTACTATTTCCTTAACACCGCGCGGCGATACTATTTCTTTTAAAATGTCGGAAAACAGAGTATAGCCGGCCGGCTATACTGTATAAGAGCAAAATAGTCATTTCGTCTTCAACCCCATCCCAACACCAGCTCCACCACTCCCTCACCAGCGTCTTCAGAAACCCACCAGTCAAAATAACCCAAACAACAAATTAACAATATTGAAATCATGCGTTGGACGTTCAAATTGGTGAAAACGTGGAAACTGAGTTCTCAATACAACAATACACCAACCAACCCGTTTATAATTCTAAATGGACCGACCGACCAACCCATTTATTTATTTCTCTCCAATTGACTATAGCTTGATCACTTAGTTCATGTCCGAGTCAAAGAACCCTGCAGACTCGCCCGAGTCAGCTACCCAAACCCAACCCTCAAACTCATGGCCCTCAGCCACAACTTCTCTGTTTCTAATCCTAATACTTCCCATCATCACCGCGACGCTCATCTACCAACTCGACTCGTTCGACCCAGCCCCTCTGCCTTATCACGAGTTGACTCGTCGCTTAACCAGGAGGGCTCCTGCTCACAATCCTCGCATGCTTCGAGGGTCAGAGCGTGTGGGCTTTGGGCTCTTGCGGGCCCCCGAAGACGTGGCTTATCATTCCGGGTCGGGGCTCATTTACACGGGTTGTGAAGACGGGTGGCTCAAGCGAGTTAAACTCAACGACTCGGAAAATCCCGAGTTTGTGGTGGAGAGCTGGGTCAACACGGGCGGCAGACCTCTCGGGCTCGCTTTCGGACTTCACAATGAAGTTGTCGTCGCTGATGCCGATGAGGTTGGTACACGTAGGAAATGTTAAATATTTTTTTATTATTTGGTTGTTTCACTTCAATATTTATTTGGTTAAAAACATTATAATAGTTACGATAATCAAAGGTCTAATATCTATAATTGTTTAAAAAAGAAATAATTAGTTTGTTTAATCTCAGCCATTCATTTTGGCCTAATCTAATGGTTGAAAACTTGAGTGAAAATTACTTGTGTCATGGATCCACACTCATATCTAAATGGGCTTTAAAAAACTAAAGTTTATGTTACACCGTTGATGAGCCCGACGAATAAATACAAATGTGGAAACTCAGTTTCTTTTTTTTTTTCATTTGTCCAATATAGGTCTTTACATTTTCTATTTCCTAGACTTATACTCTACACTCTATAAATCTATATGTAAAATACAATTTCAAATTTAAATCACCAACAGAATATAAAAGGTCATAGTATTTCTATGTTTTTACATCGTTGCCACCAGACTTCATAATTTATTTATAATTTATTTCAAGCATTTCATTAACTGTCATAATTGTAATTAATACTCCATATTAATAGCATATCAATCACCCCATTTCTTTTGGTTGCCATTCCCTCTAACATATTGTACCTAAAATTGCAAACCAAAAAAAAAAATTATGTAAATTACATATCCAATAATGTACCTATGAAAAATATAAATATATATATGTAAAAAAATATAGATATATTGTTTACCAAAAAAATTTACAGAAAAATAGGTACACAATAATTTATAGAAAATGTAGATACACAATTATTTATAACAAAAATAATAGGTACACAATAATTTATAGAAAATGTAAATACACAATAATTTATAATAAAAATAATAGGTAGATTATTATCCATGAAAAATCTAGGTACAATAAATGAGATCCAAGTTCTAAAATATGTATATTATTATCTAGGAAAGATGGAACAAAATTTCAAAAAGGCAATAAGGAAAGCTGCATTTTTTGGCCAAGACATTGTTTTAATTTTAATAATAAAACACATTTTTTGGACAAAATTTTTAGAGGGAATCACCACAATAAATTGGGGAACCAAAAATTAAAACACCACTCCATTACACGTTGAAATATAAATAGCGCATTTTGGCAATCAAAAAATGATAATAAATAAGATATTGAGCTTAATAAGGTAACTTGATGAGTTCGATCCTAGTTATTGGTTTTTACTTATAAAAATTGGGTATTATTTATAGGAACAAAAAATGAATGGTTGCAAGTAAAGTAAGTTGAATTTGAAGGGTGTAAGCCAAATTTACATTTTTTTTTTAAATTATGAACAAAGAAACTTGTGACATCTTTAGAAACTGGAAAAACTAATAATGTAATCAGTGTAAAACTTGAACATTATTTTGAGATAATGCATCTGCTTAAGAAAGACTGACCTTATATGAGGTGGGGTATGGGTGCAAGTTGTGCATAATAAAATGAAATTTATGGCAGGGCCTGCTGAATGTAACGAGTGAGGGTGAGGTAAAGCTGCTGACAGACGAGGCTGAGGGTGTAAAATTTGGAATTACAGACGGTGTAGATGTAGCCGTGGATGGTACGATTTATTTCACAGATGCTTCATACAAGTACAATTTAAAACACTTTGTTTGGGACTTTTTGGAGGGTCGGCCTTATGGTAGATTCATGAGCTATGACTCAGCAACCAAACAGACCACAGTGCTGGTTCGCGATCTCTACTTTGCTAATGGAGTGGTGGTTTCGCCGGATCAAAGCCACGTAATCTTCTGTGAACCCCCATGTACGATGTTAGTTTACGATGTTCTGTTGTCTAAATGTGTGATCTAGATTGATAGGGTGATAATGTAACATGTTAGACTGTTTTTTTGTTTGTGCATGTTATAGGAGGCGATGTAGAAAGTATTACGTACAAGGGGAGAAAAAGGGAAGTGTGGAGGCTTTTATCGATCAGCTGCCAGGCTTGCCAGATAACATCAGATATGATGGAGAGGGCCATTACTGGATTGCATTGTCAATGGTAAATAAAAAATGTTCCCACTTTTTTTTCAAAAAGCATTTCCTTCTAAAGGGCTTATACTAAAATCCTAGTTTTTGTTTTGTGCAACTTTTGACGCAGGCACCTACATTGGCTTGGGATTTAGCTGTTAGATATCCTTTCATCAGAAAAGTTATGGGAATTATGGAGAAGTACACAGGGAGACCCAATGTAGAGAAGAACGGTGGCGTTTTGGCCGTTGATTTAGATGGAAATTTGATTTCACATTATTATGATCCAGGATTGTCACTAGTTTCAAGTGTGATCAAGATCGGAAATCAGATTTTCTGCGGCTCGATATTCCATCCTTACATGCTTCGCCTCAACATTCAACAATACCCAACAATGGCTGTTGCTTGAGGAACAAGCAGCTATTGTATATAATGTGGTACGAAACACATTTTCTATGTGTTATATATATATATATATATATATATATATATA